AGATGAAATCTTGCTCTTTTGCCCGGGCTACAATGGTGCGATCTTGGCTCACTGCAACCTCCACCTCCCGGGTTCAAGCGATTTTCCTGCCTCAGCTTCCCGAGTAGCTGGGATTACAGGTGCCCGCCACCATGCCCGGCTAATTTTTATATTTTTAGTAGAGATGGGGTTTCACCATATTGGCCAGGATGGTCTCAAACTCCCACCCTCAGGCAATGCCTCAGCCTCCCAAAGTGCTGGGATTACAGGCGTAAGCCACTGCACCCAGCAAGTATTTGCAATTTTTATTAAAGAGCTTGAAGAAATATTCCATAAGTGAGTACTTTCTTTGTAATATCGCAGGTAACTCAATATAGTCATTGGTCTCATGAAGTTTTTAGTGTGGTTGAAGATACAGGCAATTACAGTACTGAGTATTGAGGGCTGTGATCCAAAAAAGTAATGATATATTCAGGGCTGTGATCCAAAAAACTAAATCAGGTTCTAAGCTGAACTCAGCTGAAACTAGCCAGGCCCGGGGTGGTGGCTCACTCCTGTAATCCCAGGACTTTGGGAGGCCAAGGCAGGCAAATCTCTTGAAGCCAGGAGTTTGAGACCAGACTGGCCAACATGGCAAAACTCTGTCTCTACGAAAAATGCAAAAATTAGCCAGTTGTGGTGGTGGGCACCTGTAGGCACAGCTACTCAGGAGGCTGAAGCAGAGAATCACTTGAACCTGAGAGGTGGAGGTTGCAGTGAGTCAGGATGACCACTGTACACTCCAGCCTGGGCGACAGAGCAAGACTCCGTCTCAGAAAAAGAAAAAAAAAAATGCCAGGTAGCAAGAGAAAAGAGATCAGCAGGGAATATTCCAAGTAGAGGGATAGCGTACTGGAGTTCAGAAAGTGAGACAGAACATGGTATATTGTTTAAGATATCAGACTGGGTATGGTGGCTCATACCTATAATTCCAGCACTTTGGGAGGCTGGAGCAGAAGGATTGCTTCAAGCCAGGAGTTGAGAGACCAGTCTGGGCCACATAGCAAGATCTTGTCTCTACCAAAAAAAAAGAAGATTTTTTAAAGGATATTTTTTGGGGTGTGGGGGATTTCATTAAAAGCTGTTTTTCAGTGATTACATACATACGTGTATGATCTCCAAATTATCGTTTATTTCATGGCACTATCTCTCTCATTTTTCTTAACCCTTCAGTAATGAGATTGGTTCTATCTGAAGTGTGACATTTGCTCTTCAGTTTAGACAGATACAGAACGGTGTTATCATTGAAAATAGCTCTTCAGTGGCATGCCAATTTCTGTGCCTTTTGCATTTTTCTTCTGCTTTGTCACGTGTTTTGCCCTCTTTTTATCCTTTAAGTATCTTTAATATCACTTCCTTGTAGACAAGGGTAGGGGTTTCTGCTGTATCCTTTTATAGCATTATGCTTCCTTATCAAAGCAGTCATCATTACTATACTCTGCGATAGCTTGTTTATCTGTTAGACTGTAAACTACTTGTGGACAGAGATTGTATTTTTGCCTCCCATTGTATCTCTAGCACAGTGTTTATCACATTTATAGCCATAAGTGAATGGAAGAATTTATTGCTATTTCTGTTAAGATTTATAATGACAGATTTATCCAACTATAGTAAATTGCTTTCAGTTTCTGAATAGCCTGCAAATCAATTTTTGCCTGCAAAAGGTTTTCCTTGAGGACCACTGCCTGAAACTTGCAGTAATCTAAAATTGAAGTAGAAACAGTTATCTGGGTTTGGTGGCAGGTTCCTGTAGTCCCAGCTACTTGGGAGGCTCAGGCGAGAGAATCACCTGAACCCTGGGAAGCGGAGGTTGTCGTGAGCTGAGATTGTACCACTGCACTCCACCCTGGGTGACAGAGTGAGACTCTGTCTCAAAAAAAAAAAAGAAGAAATGAATGTTACCCTTTTGATCCTTTTAATTGCCTGCTTGAATGATAGCTCTCTATTGGACCGTCTTGATCCAAGACTAGAGAGATCATAAGTCAGTAAGAGATGAACTTCAAATATAATGAGATGTTTTTCTCTTATGAAAACAGAGAAAGTTAATAAAGTTGGTGAGATCCATGTGAAGACATTAGAAGAAATTCTTCTTGAAAGAGCCAGTCAGAAACGTGGAGAATTGCAAACTAAACTCAAGACAGAAGGACCTTCAAAAACTGATGATTCTACTTCAGGTACAAGAAGCTCCTCCACTGTCCGTATCAAAACCTTCTCTGAGGTCCTGGCTGAAAAAAAACATCGGCAGCAGGAAGCAGAGAGACAAAAAAGCAAAAAGGATGCAACTTGCATCAAGCTAAAGACTGATAATGAAATTAAAAAAACAGTAGTTTTCCCACCCATTGTTGCCAGCAAAGGACAATCAGAGGAGCCTGCAGGTAAAACAAAGTCTATGCAGGAGGTGCACATCAAGACGCTGGAGGAAATTAAACTGGAGAAGGCACTGAGGGTGCAGCAGAGCTCTGAGGGCAGCACCAGCTCCCCGTCTCAACATGAGGCCACTCCAGGGGCAAGGCGGCTGCTGCGAATCACCAAAAAAACAGGTAACAAGAGAACTTGGTCCCTAGTACCACGTCCCAAATAATATTCTAGAGGAATGTTCCATGGGGTCTTCATAGGAGTTCTTGGAGAACTTTTCTTTACTCAGATAACATTGAAAACACTGAATTAAATGAAGCTTTTCAGCAGCGCTATGTAGACCTCTGCTATTTTATTTTATTTTTGAGATAGAGTCTCACTCTTGTAACCCAGGCTAGAGTGCAGTGGCGTGATCTTGGCTCACTGTAGCCTCCACCTCCTGGGTTCAAGCAATTCTCCTGCCTCAGCCTCCCAAGTAGCTGGGACCACAGGCATGCACCACCACACCCAGCAAATTTTTGTATTTTTAGCAGAGATGGGATTTCATTCACCATGTTGGCCAAACTAGACTTAAGCTCCTGACCTCAGACCAAAGTGCTGGGATTACAGGCGTGAGCCACCACGACTGGCCAAATCTTTGTTATTTTACTGTGTATCTTGAGACTTAATTAGCACAAGTGGGCTTTGTCTATAATTTTATTTGTCCTGTCTTACTACTTTCATTAAATAAAGTTTTGTTTAACATCTCTATCATGAAGTTGCAGCTTAAATAAAGTAAACTAATGATGTCTTTAATGTGAATACAGGAATAAAAGAAGAGAAGAAATTTCAGGAAGGAAATGAAGTTGATTCTCAGAGCAGTATTAGAACAGAAGTTAAAGAGGTAAATTTGTTTAAGATCATTGTATGGTTTTGTTCATGGCAAACAAAGGCTAGATAATTGCTAGTTTTACCTTACAGTAAATCAGTAAATTTCTGAATACTTCACTGATATATTAGGTAAACAGTCTTTCTTTTTACTTATAATAATTTCTTTTTTTTTTTTTTTTTTTTTTTT